CGGATTTCATATCGCATAAACACCATATCCCAACGTGCATTGCGGCTAAACAATCCAATCACCAAGCTTCTAGCTGAGGATCTTGGGTAATCGGTTCAGTGGGTTTGGTTTGTGTTGTGTATCGCATAGGTGTATCGCGATGATGCTCGAAATGTCCCTTATAGGCCTACGTCTGTTTCCGGTGACATTATTTTGAAATTCAGTTCCTGAGGAACGGCTAAAAAGCCCAAGATTATAGAATTAAACGAATAAATAAAAACAAGGATAATTGTGTGTTATTGGTGAGTAAATAACAGTGTGTTATTTAGAAAAGAATAACAAATTAGAATGAAAAAAATATTTTTAAAAATACAGATTTCAGTATTTTGAGGCTCTGAGCCCCATTTATTTTCCTCACTGACGACAAAAAAAGTCCGACATTAATACGATTTAAAATAAAAACAATAATCTTGGCTTGATATTGAGTAAGAACATGTTTTTATGAACCACACAGCTTCCGGTCTTCCAAGACCCGACCGGACAAAAAGACGTGTTGCAGGCACGAAACACACTACGAATAGAAATACATTGCTTTTAAAATCGTTCTGTGACACGAAAAAAGGGGGAAATCATGTTGGTGAACACAAATCAATAGATGAAATGTCGTGAGACTGGGTTGATTAATCACAGGCTCTTTGCCAGGCTGCTGGTGGGATTTGCTATTTGATTCCAGTGAATCAAAGAAGTGTTCAGTTTTTTTACCAGCATGCACGTTACATTATCTATCCAGCTTTCTGGACAGAGGCAGCAGACAATCTGTGCCAGCACAACTCTCAGCAGATCACAGTGAGGCTGAGGGTTCCAGTTGAACCCTGTCTGTATGTCCGTCAGCCTTGCACCCATCTGATCTCACGCACCCCCAGGTGATCACATGACAGCTATGCTTCTCTCTCTCACCCACTGTTTTAAATGAAGGTGCAACAACCTTCTTGTCAAATAGGGTCAGTGAACCCTTCTGGTCTGGCCCCTATCGAGGGACCACAAGGATCTCTTGCCCCGACTACAAAAACTCTCCCAGAGTCACGCAAATCCCCCCTCCCCATAAAGTCCCATGCATTTGCAAATTGATATAACCATATAGCCCTTCTTGGCACAAATGGGGTTGTCATCCTTCAATGGATAAGGCACTTAATCCTACTTTTTAGTTTTGTTTATCTGCATTATAGAAATGTTCCTATTGTTTGATAAATCTCTCGTTCTGCTTCTCATGCAAGTTTTTTTAATGGAATGACCAAATATGGATGTGTTCACTAACAGTTTGGAACGTGAGCATAAATTTTTTTTTTAAAAAGCCATTCTTAATAAATGCAGCTTTAAATAAATATTTATAATTCTACAGGCAGTGGATCCAATGCAAGCAATTGCGGTGAGATGCTTGAATGTTTTTAAATCCAGTTTTTTATTTTATTTTGGAATATCATGTGATTTATAAAAAGTCCTTCATCTCTTTGACAAGTCTTCTGAAAACATGAGCGTGTCAGTCACATTCTTCAGACTGTTTCGGGTCATGCGCCTAGTGAAACTTTTGAATCGCTCTGAAGGGATTCGGAATCTTCTGTGGACCTTCATCAAATCCCTTCAGGTCAGTAACAACTCTGATCAGATTCAGCCAGTTCAGAAATTAGGCATCCATCTGACAGTGTTACTGCTTGTTGTGTTGCAGGCTCTCCCCTATGTGGGCCTGCTCATTCTCATGCTATTCTTTATATACGCTGTGGTTGGAATGCAGGTACACACACACACACACACACACACACACACACACACACACACACACACACACACACACACACACACACACACACACACACACACACACACACACACACACACACACACACACACACACACACACACACACACACACACCGTCCGTTATTGATAATTATATGATGGGCATTTTCAGTTTTTTTATTTCTGGCATGTGTGGATTAATATGAAGCTTTAGTTTTCAACATATGGGCCAGTACTAATCGATTGGTGAGGCCGAGCCAAGGATCTTAATCGAAGCGAGAAATAGCTTCTCATTTAGAACCATCCCAATATCAATGTGTGGATATTTTTTTGAATCTCAAGGTCAAACTCAATGAACCGGAGAAGTAGAAAGAGCATCTAAATAACATTCCGTTCTTTCTAACTTACACAACATGTGCAAATAAAAAAAGCAGGTTTTAATAAAATGATAATGAATTTAAACAGATTTGAATGTTTTAATACATATTATACTTTGTTGGCAAATAACCATAGTTTAAGCAAGATACAAATCAGTGTAATGATTGTAATGGATCACCCAAGGGCTAAAAACACTCTGCCCGTAGTTAAGAAGACCCAGAGTGCTAAACAGCTTACCCAATCTGTTGTTTCATTTTTTATTATTTTATCTAAATAAAACATTTTTCCTGCAGATATTTGGAAAAATTGCGTTGGTTGACGGCACATACATCAACAGGAACAACAATTTCCAGACCTTTCCTCAGGCTGTGCTGCTGTTATTCAGGTTGGTGCTATGTCTTCTTCTGTTACTACACACCATTATGATTATGATTATTATGAATATCATTATTGTTATAATTATTATTATTGTTATCGTAATTAATGATTGTTTTAGATGTGTCTGTGACATGGTTCTTCATAGACCCATGATTTTCTTTTACAAACTATTGGAAGTTGTGTTCAATTGCTGCTCAATAAATGTCACCTCAATTGACCAAATGGGCGCTATGATCAAATGTACACAAAATTGGGTACAGAGATGCATTTCTATTCAGATTTTCTGCCATTTTAATTTGGAAAATGGATTTCTGAAAAGCTAATTTAATCCATAAATTGAGTAACTACATATTTGTGTGCATCATTACTGGTCCAAACTATCAGAGATTATCAAAAGCTTGTGATTCTCCTACATATAAATTATGTATATAAAACTCCCTTTTGGATTTTGGTCTTGACTGACTGCTCTCTATAGATGTGTTAATGCTTGGTAAGTTTTACTGAAAATAAATCAAATCAACTGTTTGTCAGTTATTAATCACGGTGTAGCTCGATATTAAACCCATTCTCTAAAGCAAACAGCTAACAGGAGAGCACTGTCACACTGTGTAATGGAGAAGGGCAGATTTGACTTCAGTGTGACTTTCAGAGTGTGTGTGATTGAGACCTTTTGATTTGTCTGTTGTGCAGATGTGCGACAGGGGAGGCTTGGCATGAAGTGATGTTAGCATGTATGTACGAGAAGAAGTGCGACCCCAAGTCTGATTACCTGCCCGGGGAGGAGTACACATGTGGATCAAACTTTGCCATCATCTACTTCATGAGTTTCTACATGCTGTGTGCCTTTCTGGTAAAACAACCCACCTTCACACACTCTCAAAACACATCATTACAATACATATCATTTAGCTCAGGGGTTCCCAACCTTTTTTCCCAAGAGCCCCCCCAAATGACTCCTGTTGGAAGTTGCCCCCCCCACACACACACACACACACACAAAGGGGGGGGGAAACATCGGAACTTCCAACAGGAGTCATTTGGGGGGGCTCTTGGGAAAAAAGGTTGGGANTGGTGCTGGTCTCACAGAATCAGCCCATGCAAAGACAGTGTTAAATTGAGCGAAATGAGGAATGGCTAAAAAGCATGATCTGTTTGGTATGTGGGCGGGACTAAGTATCGAGGATAGGAGTCGAGGAGGGGAGTCGAGGAGGGGAGTTGGAGAAATGAGAAAGGGACCTGGTGTTTCTTTGTTCCTTTGTCAGTTCGTTATGTTTCATGTCGTGAGAACCTGGGCCTTTATTTACTCCTGATACCTACCTTGAGATTTAGACCTTTTGCCAATTGAGTTTTTGTGTAGCTGTACAACTTGGCTTTGGCTATTTAACTGCTTTCTATTTTTTGAAAGTACGATTTAGTTTTTGTTATTAAAGAACATTCTATTTTCGGACAACTGTCTTCGAGTCCTGCTTTTGGGTCCTGCGTCCTGTGTCTCGGTTCATAACAAGTAAACCCAGATGCAACACCTCCCCTCCTACAATAACATGTATTTAAAGTGGCCTTATTTAGCTTTTTGCATACATTTTTACACACATTACATTTAATCGGACGCTTATCCAACGGGAAGTGCATTGACCATGAAGAAAAAAACTCAAAATCAAGAATCCTGCAGGTTCATTTGCTATCTATAAGCCCAACCTATTTCTATTGAATTGGTATTTATTTGCATTACATCTCAAAAACATTCTCTTATACCATTTTAATTGTTTTATGTCCTTTATATATTCCCGAACCCTAACCCTAACCCGTTGCATTGTTGGAAGAGCCTGTGACTTACGTTTTTCATTCCCATATCTACACTGTAGCTACTGTCACACGCTAATGTTGTTTACTTGACAATAAAGCCTTGAATCTTGAAAAGAACAGAATAAGTGCTACTGCATTTTCTTCATTTAAAGCCAAACCTTTGTAATTGCTACCTAAAGAAAGAGAAAGTTGTGTTCCCCACTTAAATTAAGCAGCGGAGCTCCTAGCAGAGAGACAGAAAGCTAACAACAGCAGCAAAATTAACTCCCCTCACAGTTGTTATGAATGTGGAATCTAACTATACAGATCATATGTTTTTTTGAACCACAATGGAAAATGTTTATTTCTGCTCAAAAGTTTGGACTTTTAACTTGGGGGTTAATGGAAATTGCTCCCTTCTGCAGTCTCCTACTACCGGCCACTAAATGAACTGCAGTTTGTGGCACTTCCTTCTGGGCTTCACGGCTTTGCCCCAGAGTTTGCCGCTGTGAAGCTTTTGATGAAGTTGCTGACACAGCTCTTGCCTCGGCTAAGTTGCTAGCTAGCACTAGAAATATTGAGATGCTTTTTTCACGACACACTGAAATATGTTCAAGTGTCAAGGTATGTGTATTGTTACAAGCTGTAATATTATGGCAGCTATCAGCTTGAGCTTTGCTGTCTTCCCAGTGAGCTGAATCAGGGTAATGTCAATCTAGTGACTAATGTCAAACCTGTAAGTAATTTATTACCTGTGGATTTGTTATGTTTGAAACCAACAATGTAGCTACTACTGGGGGTTAAGTGTGAAGCTGTTGCTGAAGCTGGGTTGCAAACACAGTGCTATATAGAGATGTTTTTTTTATCACAACACTTTAGTGGCTAATCCTGGTGTCATTTTTCAGAAACCACATCAGATTAGGTGTCCAACACACATTTAGAAAAAATCACACACACATAAATTCCACTTGAAATGTGTTATTTTTGATTATGATAATTATGATAATTATGGTGGAATGAGTTCCCCATTGAATTCAGGACAGCAGAAAGCTTGCACATCTTTCCGGGGGAGACTCCACCAACTCCACCAATCAGGAGGAGACACCCACGGACATTGCCGTTCGAAAGCGCTGGAGACGCTGTAGTACATATGCCAGGCCTGTAGATGGTGCTGTTCTCACAGAATCAGCCCATGCAAAGACAGTGTTAAATTGAGCGAAATGAGGAATGGCTAAAATGCATGATCTGTTTGGTATTTTGAAAAATAAAAAGTATAAATATGCCTTATATAGGTATGGTCCTACACTATATTATTCAAATATAGCATGATAGGTCCACTTTAAGGTGCTAATGAAACAATGAAATACAAAAAGTCCAGTTAGTTTAGTTAATGAGAGAAGAACACTGCTGGGGTTCTCATTAACGACCTGCATGCTGCACATTATACCGTTTGTTACACACCTACTTACTTAAAAAGTTCCTTGCTACTGCATAGGAGTATGAATATATATTAAAAATAAATCCATGGTGGATGATTTTATGGCATTAGCTGACGTTAAATTGACGGGAATTCTTAGTTTGGATTTATATGACTGCACATGGACCCTTGACTACACTGACTTTAGAAACCGTCTGCTGTCAAAAGACGAATCAGATTTAACTTGAACTCAGCCTTAATAAAACCAAAACATGTAAATGTGCAGCAAAGAAAGTGCGTGTGTTTTTGTTTGTTTGTGTTTGAGTTTGTTTGTGTTTGTTTAGGTGTTTGTGAGTTTTTGTTTGTGTGAGCGTGTCTGTGTGTGTGTTACCTGCTCGAAGTCCTGATGAAACAGGGCCGGTGGTTGACAGATGGAACAGCTTCGTCCATCAGAGGGTACGACTTGATAAACATCAGCATCTCGTCGGGGAACTGAACCGAGGATTTGTAGTCCACAGCCGGACCATCACCGGTACATGTACCGGGCCTGGAAACAACGAAAACAAAAAGTCATTCAAGATGTGTTGTTGTTGAAATGCGGCAATAAACAACCAATCTGCTTCTGTAAGCTGTAAGGACGGTTATTTCATATATTGATGTGAGTAATCGCAAATGACGCTGCGGTCAGTAACACAAGGTAAATGTCTGCCTTTTTGCCGGTCTGAACGCACCATTACGTGTCTAATAAATACCGTGTTTTAAAGCGTTCTAGGTTGGGAGGACCCTGAGTTTGCCCCCAGTGAAAGGGTGGTCCCACCTGGGTCTGGGAACCTGCTCCTCAGGGACTGGAGTCCAGGAGGAATCGCTGGTCCGCTGCTCCTTGAACTTCCCATTGAAGACGCTCTCTATGTCGTCCATGTAGAACGCACAGACTGCTGAGCCAGGAATACTGCAGAGAATGTCATGGAGGAGTATTTAGCTGCAAATATTGTATTGTGAGAAGAACGCACATTGACTGATTTAATTTAAGCAGTGATAAGTGTCAGACCAAACTTCGATAATATAACTTAAAATAAACCAAAACCAACAAACTCAATTTCGGGGACTCCGAAGATCTGAAGACAACAACATAATAACACAACAACACAACAATAGACTGACAAGATCTCTGCTGAGTTTCTGACTCTTTGCACAATCCTAACATGATATCATCCAGAGAGTAACTAAGCGATTGTTCTGAGAGAACATAACTCTTAACTCTTGTCACCACTTTTAAAAAATGTCCTCACTCTTCAGGTGTTAGCCTGAAAGTGGTCCTCACAGAGTTGTCCCTCACGTTACCTGTTATCCTGCGTGGTGAAGACCCCCACCACAGCGGGCCTCTGGTTAATCTGCAGCACGTTGGTGAGGGACTGAAGAATGTCGAAGTAGAAGAACGAATCTCCAGGAACCGAGCAGTTCAGACGAGCCTACACACACACACACACACACACACACACACACACACACACACACACACACACACACACACACACACACACACACACACACACACACAGTTCAATTGGCTTCACATTGTGACATTCATTTTCCTGACATCAGAGAACGTGTCCTTCAGTCATTTTATTAAAAAGGAATTCACCTTGAGAAAAGAAGTCCAGTATCTTTCCAGAACTCTGGGAGATCCTCCATTATCGTTCTTACAGACCCGGGTGACTCGAGAAAACACCACCTGGAGAGAGAGAGGGGGGAGAGTTTTGAGAGGTGCCGCTCTAGATTCCACATTGAAAAATCCAGCCTGCAGTATGCATACAACTAGGGAGTAATAATTTGTCATAACTTTGCGCAGGTGTGTGAGCAAGCGGTTCTAAACGTTTTCCCATTACATTGGGAAGGAAACGTCTGTAAAGCGTTTACATCTTTTTATGTAAATCTACTTCCCAGAATGGAAACTTGAATAGCCCTTATTTATATAATTGGGGCTGTAAGAAAATAAAATCAATATTATGTGCTGTAACTTTAAATGAATACACTGTTCTAATTTAAAGCTGCTTTATTCTGAAAACCGGATGTTCACAGACTCGACTTCCGGTTTTCCCGAGTAAATATCGTCAACTTCAGGTTAGCATTAGCATGTAGCTAATATTATGTTTTGCATACGTGAATTTAAGGAGTATTCGAACTGTCTTTAACCC